ATCTCTTTGTCCTTTCACTTTCAGTTCTTAAATTTATCAATTAATCATTTTATTTATGTGATAGGCTTGCATTTAAAATAAATATTTACCATAAATTAAAGGTATCTTATATTATTAGATATATTATTATAAAATAGGTTTTAGTTAAGGAGTTATTAATACTTCAAGTGCAAAAATGATGACATAAAACCTTGATAAAAATGTACTTTTAAGTATTAATCATTTCCGTTTAAATAATATTCGTATATTATTAAAGGATAATTATAGAAATTTAATCAATCAAGTCCCTACTTGATTATTCTAGGACTAGAATTGTAATCCGTGAATTAAATACATTCTAGTGCTTAATTTCTAAATTTATTTTCAATCAAGTCACACTTTATTAATTATCCCAGTTTAATTTCTAACTAATGGTTCTTAACATGTGTGACCCATTAGGTTTCTAATATGTTGATCCAAGTATAAATTATAATTCTAAATAAATAAAATTAAATAAATCAAACAATTTAATTTATTATCAATTTAATAATTGATTAATTTATATTTGAAGATTAAGTGCATTTTCTAGCAATATATCGCGATCTTCCAAATATTAGAAAATTCATAAGTGATTTAATTTAATTTTTCAGTAACCAGTTTCTCAGTGTAATTATTATTCATTTATCAATAATATTCTGACTTAGACATTTTAGCATGGAGTGTGTTTGCTATGTCAAATTATATTTGTTTGTAATATTATAGTCATTAATTATTTGAATAAGATTTAAAAATCTTTTCAAATCTCATTCCACCTTATATAAGGATTTAATACTTAATACTATTTAAGAACATGTGGAACATTTTACCTAATTAGCCTAGGATGATGAATCCTCTTTTGATCATTCAAATACCTTCATATAGTTTATATTATATTAAATGTTTGTCTATTTGTTACATTTACCAAGATAATATGTAATAGGATCAAAATATAACACTCCTTATATAAGATAACTTGGTGATATCGAGTTTAAGAATTATTTACACAATCGTTACATGAGTCTTTTCATAAAAATATATGATATTTTTATGGAATTCTCATGGGAGTTAGTTCAATATACATATCTTATGATAAATATCTCCATATTAGTTCTAGGTATCCCTTATACCTTAACTTATGAGAATAACTTCTTCATTTTCTAAAAGAAAGAACATAATATGAATGAGTTTCAATGACTCTAATGAATGTCCAATATTTAAAAGAGCATAAACCATAAATATTTCAAGAACATAAACCATAAGAATTTCATAATTATAACAACTTTAAAATTTTCTTTATACAACATTTTTATCTCATTAACTTTATCTTTACTTTAGATTCATTAATCTAATATTATATAAGTATTAAAGATAAATTAAGCCTTTATTAATAATAAATTTGTAGTTACATGAATATAATAAAGCCATATATAACCACTCAATTGATTACATGACATATTAAACTAACAATCTCTCACTTACTCTAAAGTCAATCAAACATGTATCTAATACCATATTACTTCATGTAGCATTAATTTTCTGTATGGATAGTGACTTAGTAAAAGAATCTTCTAAATTCTCTTCGGCTAGTACTCTTGACATGACTAAAAAGATTGATATTTTCTCTCAAGTGTAGGAGTGTTGAAGTAATAAATAACCTGGTAAGACCGAGGTCGAATCACATGGAGGTTAATTATAATAATAATAATACTAATAATAATAATAATAATAATAATAGTAATAAGAAGAAGAAGAAGTTAAAGAGAACTTTGAGATGTAAGAATAATGTGTAGATTAAACAATAAAAATAAATGTCAAGGTAAGAGAATCTACAAATGATATTTCAAACAAGTATAGTATAAACTTTTTTTATTACTCAACTAGAAACTACACACAAAGAATGTTCCAATCGGATTTTAAATGGTTAACATGATTATATTAGTTATCTTATTCGAAAATGTTAATACTTGTAAATGTTGTCAGGTATTCATGATTATATTAATAACAAATCAAATTCCTTTCATGGCACAAGTATCAGTTATACCATACGGTTGTGTTATGAAAGTGTCAAGTGTTTGTTACACTAAGTGTTATACAACATAAATCTAGATTAATCATTTAGCAAGCAAAGTATTAAGAGTGAACAAGATAACAAATACAAAACCTGTTAGTATCCAAGTTCTACAGCTCCAATTATAATCCAATTACTAAACAATGTTTCAGTTTAGACTAAACCAGCATTTCTTTTTTAAGCTTCACCCTTTCTTTGTCCTTTCAATTTCAGTAATTTAACTAATCAATCAACCCTTTTATTTATGTAATAAGCCTGCATTTAAGGTGAATATTTATCATAAATTAAAGGTATTTTATGGTATCAGACTTGTTATTATAAAACATACTTTAGTTAAGAAGTCATTGATACTTCAAGTGCAAAATAATGATATAAAAATTTTATAAAAATATATTTTTAAGTATTAATTACATCCCCCCACTCAGCCTATTACTAGTCTCTAGTAATCAAAACATTAAAATATATTACTAGTCCCTAGTAATCAAAGCGTTAAAATAGAAAAATAATTTGCAAATTTTACAAAGTAAGGCATTCATCATTCAACTTTCATTAATCTATCCAGATAAAGAAACTCTCATTAAATTTATATATCTGCTCAATATCTCTTAAATAAGATATTAATAAACTTTTTTTTATGCTCAATATATCAACACATAGTTATGGGGCTTTACTTGGAAAAAAATAAAATTTTTGTTCTAATGTTTAACGTTAACTTTCTTGAGTTGGGATTTTTTTCCTCTTTTTATTAATATATATACATATAACTTAAAACACAATGCATCTTTAACTTATGAAACAAGCTTTCGGTTAATGACACCTAGACAAGTTGGTCTCAGGGTACTAGGTGTTGAGACACTCCTACAAGCTTAGTAACTCGGATTGCATATACTGATATATAGATAGTGTAATGTTTAATTTCTTTAAGTTTTTCTCCTTAACCTATGTAACAAGCGTTGGGCTAAAATTTTTCAAGTCAATTAACTTTAGAGTATTAGGTGTTAAAATATTTATTTGGGCTTAATTTCTTAGGTTAGGGAGATTACAAAACAAAACTTATCTATATTTTTATTATCATTATTTTTTTGTTTTCATTTTTTTTGTTTGTTTGTTTTTTTTTAATTTATTTACTATCCCTTTTTCTTAATTGTTACCTTTAACAAAAGAACATAAATAAT